CAGCAGCAGATCATCGTCTTCAGGGCTTGGATCGCAGTTACTGTTTGTGCAACTGTTCTGCGGTATTTATGTTCGCAAACGCTCCTGGTTCTGGAAAACTGCTTCCACAATCTCCAAGTTTGTGGGACAGGGTGATGGGCTATCTCTAGTATGTGCTTAGTCACTCTTAGGCACTCGCGACACGTCGCACATGGACAGGAAACATCTGGGCACTGACTGCGGCCTGCGGAATCATAGCCGGAGTGCAAATATTTGGGCTTCCGTCCCCCGGAGTCGGGTTATTGATCAAACAACCTGCGCTCCTTTCGTGTGCCGCCCAAGTGGCATGCAAATCCCAGGCAGTCGGCATTGTATGGGAATATATTAAACGGTTCCAGCTATCATATATCCTGATTGCCTCGTCCGCCTGCTCCTTTGTAGGTGGGTGTACTCCTACAACAGCAGAACCTTTGACTTCGGGGTCTATTGCTTGTTTATTTCAAATACTCTAGGCGGATCTTTGGGTTTCTGGGATGAATGAGCTCTACATTAAATCAATTTATGTTTCAATGGCTCAGGTGGTTATAGATTTTGCTGGAAATGAGGCAGTACAGCCATAATCCTGCATCCCCTTCCCTTTATTCCTTAGAACCAAGGCTATCAACTTTCATCGGTAGGATTTAAAGTGTTCGTCTTCATAGCAGCAAATGAAGTCGAATGCGGGTACTAATGTGGGTTGCCCTTCCTGGCCAAGAGTATTTGAGGGCCAGAGGCACCCCTTCCCCGATTTGTCTATTTCTAGTATCCACTTTGGCTGTCAATGACGAGGAGAGCCGGGCCAGCCTTCAATGGGGCCACTGCAAGGACCCCATTTGGATGCGGGCTCAAACACTTGTGGTAATTGAATGGGTTTGGCAGTCGATTTGGGCGCTTTGTACTTACAGAGTTCGAAGAAATCAAGGTCCATATTCGAGTTACTTCAGAGCATCCTGTCAGGTGGCTACAGCATGACTGGCGGTCGGGTGGGTCTATAAAGAGCAGAACAACGCGACCATGAATTGCTGGCGGTGATCTCAAGTTCCAAGTGGACGAATTTTCGAGGGAAATGTTGAAATGTTAAAATTGGAGTACACCAACGATTAACCTTATCAGGCATTCACTAAGTAGAACAAAGTCAGCTTAATTCTTGCATTTCAATGCGCATAAAACTGCCTAAAACCGTTTTCCTTTCTTCAACTCGTAATACGTCTGGAAAAGAAAAATATATATATATATATTTTTTTTTTTTTTTTACTGAGAGCTTTACCCTTTAATTTCCGGTGATAAGCACCGGATTAGAATTATGCCAAAAAGTTTCCCTTGACAATCTTGTTTTATAGCCACAGGCAGTGAAAAGTTTTAAACCTACTAATGACAATGGTGAACCATAGTTTCTAGATCCCATATTCCTATATGACAGCTGACTCCTCCAGCTCTTTTAGGTGCATATATAAATGCCTAGCACTAGTCTAATGCCTAAATGCATGATTCCCAATCGGAAATGGGCACAAGATCACCACGAATTCCCAAAGAAATCCTCCCCCAAGTCGGAAAGTACACAAAACACGAGGTCTGCGTGCGAATGTGACTGCTGCGATGCAGAATACAGGCATATGTTTGTACTGCAAGTTGATATCTGGGATGTCTGGCATCAGAACAACGCAAAAAAAGAAACCAGTGCCAGATAAGTACTGGGGATAGAGGCGATTTCGACGGAACTCTGCGACGTCTGCGAGGGGCTTATCCGCCTCTGAGCGCCTCGACTTCATCATTATTTCATGTTCATCCGATGTGGAGCGTCTGCTAATTCGCAGGGAGCACGTGACTCCCGATTTGCAGTGGATGAGAGTGCGCCGAATGGCACAGAGCCCAGTTGTTTGGCGGGCAAGCTGGCTGGAAGCCGGGCACTACATTGCAGCGCAGATAAGCCAAAATGTATGCTACAAAAGGTGTTTCGGCACACGCGGCGTATGCGCAACTTTAAGGGATCTGCGTTAGTTGGCCGAAATCGAGGCGATCGGGTGGCTTGTGGTGACTTGTGGGTTTCGTAATCGTCTCTGGCCAGCCTTGGATCGATTTTAGCTCTTCGCTCGAGCGATCCGATGACCGAAAGTGGTTTCTGAAGCGGGACTTTGCCTCCGCTTTGTCATGGCTGGCTGTCGCAATGATTTTGATTGAATTAACGCCTTGGCTTTCATGTATGTTTGTGCGGATAGACTTGTCCCGGGGCTGTTTGCCCGTCGGATAAAGAACGCTTCCTCCTATAACAATAAGATGAAATGCTCAAGTGATTTGATTTAGTCGGCGGCAGGGCAACTAAAAATAAACCCCACCGAAAACAAACTCGCGATCGTGACTCGAGTTTCACTTGAAGATGCCAGCACAAATGAAAACAAAATAAATCCAAAGAAACCTGTAGCCATCCGGCTATTGATTGCTGCCTCGCCGTCTCTATGACGGAGTCGGAAGTTGGCTTCTTGTGCTTTGGACTCGCAGGGCGATGGACTGCACAAGAGACTGAACCGTGGCCTAAGCTCATCCTTGAGGCTTCTGGGGCTCTGACGGTGGACGGTGGCATTCGCCGAATCGGCCGCCTCATCATGCCGGCGCATTTAGCGTTTTATTAGCATTTCAATAAACAAATAAAGCAAATCTGCGAGCGACCTATAGTGCTCTCAAATGGCGTGCGGCGGCTCAAAAACACGATTGCACGTAAGCGGCGTTGGAATTGAGCCATAAATATGAATAAATTGTATTTGGTACGAGTATGTTGTTTTTGTGCTAATTGCCGCTGGCATGGGATTCACTCGGCCAACAAGTCAATTATGGCCAGCACACCGCCGCACTACTATGGCCAAAATCTGGAACCCATGACTTCAATTTGACCAGCCAGCCCAAAATCCAGCTGAGATTATCAAGATGTTCCTCGGTTTGAAGGGGAATTAGCACCGACGGCCTAACCAAGCGGTCAAGCATGGGAGCACTGATCTGGTCTGTTGGAGGAGCGCATATTTCCACGAATCTATGTGGATCTGTGCGATCTGCGACGCCAGGACGGAAGTGCGTTAGGACGGAAGCGAGTGACTCAAGGAGTGATAACGCCCTGGTTAAACCCGAAAGTGAACTCAATGTTAGGATTTCATTTGGAATGCGAATCTGGCGAATGCGGGAAAAGAGAAAAGAAAGTCGGCGCTCGATCGGGATGGCATGGAATATTCCATTTGTTATTTCTTATTTGTTATTGATCGCATATTTAGCATCTTTTCGGCTTGGTTTCCAGTTAGCCGGATCTCGGCCCCTCCCCCGCCCATTAGCGCCAAAATAAACTATGCTAAACAGCTTTCGGAGCCAGAGCCCCTTCTTTGCCATCTAGATTGTTATTTATAAGTATCTCGGCGCGTTTTTGCCGGACTTTTTTCTTCTGAATTTTACATACAGCTCTCTGATTTTCTGTTTTTTCCGTTTTTTCTGTATTTTTCTGTTTTTTTCTGTTTTTTCTGTTTTCTGTTACTGTGGCTGGTGCTCGAAAAGCAAACCAACCGGTTGACTTTATGTCTTGGCCCGATGGCTCGTCGCGAGCGTCTTTTTGGGCTATGGGACACGTTTTAGCTGTTTGCCTTTATTTTGCCGATCTTCTCGTGTGTTTTGTGGCTTGGCTGTTTCTGCTGGTTTTGTGTGCTTGGCACAGGCTGAGCCGAAGATATAGTGGCAGATCGGAGTAATCTCCGATGGAACTAATGGAATGAAGACGTGCACTTGGCGACGGCAAACAAAAGCGATAAATAATGCAGAATGAAACCCGTTTCTGCCGCATTCTTATTGTTTTTTAAGTACGCCGAACATCGAACACCGAACACCAAACACCAAACACCGAACAACGAAGGGGGAACTACGGCTGATTGCCATTCGATTTCCAGTGGGAGGCTGGGCCATTGTCTCGCTGTACGAGTGTACAGATGTGTGGCTGGGTGCACCGATTTTGGCCAGATTCGGGGTTACGTATACGCCACAGTGGCTGCCCCTACACTTGTCACGGCAGAGAAATCGCCGCTTCACACTTCACTCTTCTGGTTCGCACATGTTTCACTCGCTTTTCTTGCACAGAATAATTACCAGCATGGCTATTGGATCATGGGATTGGATGCATTTGATCACTGGGCGATTGGTGTAGATCTTGGATTAGCTAAAGTCGCCTTCAAATTAGTCGCACTCACACTGGCACACCCGCACACTTACACTCACTTACACTCGCACGAAGCGCCGTTACTGTGATTGTTTACGAATCTGTGGCTTTACTGTGTCGATGTCGGTTAAAGTCGGTGTTTTACGCTCCGTATACTCGATGCACTGCCTCTAAAGTCGCGCCAACTAGCCGCCTCTCTCGATTCCCCCGAATAACCGCGATCTCGGATCCGCGGAGCGACTGCACCAAGTCGGTTCGACAGCAAATCTCGAATGAGCGATAGCCCCAGCTCGCTCGATTCCCGTTCCACCTCGCTCGCTTGGACTCGGAATCGGTCTCTTCGGAGCGCGGCTCTGTCGGGGGTTGCCACTGCGCCTGGAGATCGCGGCTTGGAGATCGCAGCTTGGAGCTTCGGGCTCCGTGGAACGGCAGCTGGGCGGGATTTATCGAAAATAGAAACATACTCGTTATAGATTTACCTTATATAAAGCGGTTCTGCATCGGCAACTGGATTATGCGATGATGAAGATATTTGACTGATAGTTCAAAAGCCAGAACAGGGTACATATCAGTCTGCGATCACCATTCCATCACTCGAATGGATCCAGCTCGACTGGCAGCTATCCGGGCGCCAGATGGAGCGACAACCCTGGATGTAGCGCTCTCGCGGACTCTCTCGCGGCGAGAAATTGATAAATCGCAGCCAGCGTTGGTTAAGAAAAATGTAAATTAAATTATAACTAGCGGCGGCACAATGGGCTTAAGTAAAACCCGGCCCCTGTGCTTAGTGCAGCAGCTCTCACGCAATTAGTGGGCCGCCCGGGTGACTCGATGCGCGGTTCTCGTCGAGATTTCCCCCTCCGGCTTTGGGGGCCCCTTCTGGTGCTCCTGCGACTGGTGTCGCTGTAATGATATGTGCGCGGATCGGATAAACCGACTGATCAGCGCTTCCAACTTAACGTCGCTTAATGGAGTTGTTGTTCTTGCTGGAAGTCCCATTTTAGGTGGCTTCGCAGATTGAATTAATGCGCTGATTTATGTAAATTACACTAATTCGTATTACTCAATTGGTTATTCAATATTCATGGTCTGGTCGGGCAAGAACGGCTTGTTTGCTCAAATGGTCTTCTGCACATTGCATTTTCGGCTTATACTAGGCTAAAACATGAGTCACACTGAGAAATGCCCAGCGAGTGTGCTAGTGCTTATCTTAGCGTATATTATAACCGTCGAAATAATAAATTTCCCATTCTGCGTAACGTTTTGGGATCCTATCTACACATCCACGTTGTATTTTAGTGTGGTTTTCGAGCTAACAATTTGAAGCAACATAAGTACATTTAAACTTGAAACATTCCAGGGTTTAGGATACTCCGTATTCCTTTAAAAGGTTGTCGAGCACAGCTGGATTCTTGTTCGGCCAGTTCCTGATGGCGTTGAAGATGGACGAAACCACTATGAAAAGGGGGAAATATATGAAATCAAAACAAAATACGTTTTGCCACCTACTTTTCTTCTCCTCTGCGGACATGAGCATGGCCAAAATGGTGAACTCGTCATTTTTGCTGATCTCCAGCAGGACAGCCGCCGTGGTTGGCTCCTTATTTGGTATATAGTAGTCGTGAATGGTGCGCAGCAGGTCCGCAAACGTGTCCGAATCGAAGCCTGCTCCCAGGATCTTACACAGACTCGGCACTTTAATGGACTTTAGGTATTGGTATTTCTGAGGTCCGCTCAGCTCCTTCCAGGTCACATGGAACTGTGCAGTGCCCGTGGGTGCAGGCGGTAAGGAACGCTAAATCATAATTATATGGTTTAATAATAGCCAGACTTTGTTCTTAAGCGAACCTACCTCTATTGGACTGGGTGACACTGCGTTGTTGCTTGATGTTTGTTCGATTTTTTCAGCTTGCATGGTAATGACTTTTGGCGCCTTGACTTCTGGGCTGTGTTGTTTTGTGGTCTTTGGCGGAGAAACTTCAGTCTGAACCTTGGACACCTCGACAGCCGCCTTTTTGGGGGAACTTGGCTTAGTCTCGTTGTCGGATTCGGGCACAATCTTGGTATTCTTCAGCGTCTCTTTGGGGGCTTTAACAACTGGAGCTACTTTGACCGCAGACTGCTTGGTAATTTTAGCTTCTTTGGAAGTCTCAGCAATGGCCTCAGCTTTGGCTGGACTTGGTCTGTCTGGCGTTGGCTGTGGGTTTGTTCTTTTCACCTCCTCAATTGCGCCGCAATTACTATTAAATATCTTGTCTATATCCTCATCCGAAATGCGTAGTTTGTTGTTATCATCGCTGGTACCACGAGGAGATACCACGTCTACAACGGGTACACGGCGCATTGCCTTCTTTGAGCGCTTATAAACAGGCTTTTCGATTGGCAAGATGTCAATCATACCAGGACGAGCGGGCGTAAAGTTTGGCCCACTTTTGGTGGCTGTAAGGATTCCAAAGAAAACGAGGATATAGTATAAGTCTAAAAACTAGCTTCGGATTAATGAATAGCTCAATATTGTACAACTGCAAGTAATAACTTAAAGTACATGATCGATTGTTGGTTTGTATTTACCAATCTTGCGCAGACGTTCGTTGATCCTGGCCAGGCTTTTTTTGGCCTCGATGTTCTTGGGCTCGATGGCCAGCACAGTGGTGCAATCCTTCAGGGCTTCCATGTTGTTGCCCAGCGACTCGTTGGCCTGCATTCGCCGGTAGTAAGCCTTCACGCACAGCTTGTCCAGCGCAATGGCGGCCTCGCAGTCCTCCACGCAAAGCTCAAAGCTGCAAGGATACAGAAGATGTAGTGAAGAAGTTTCCAGAACAATCTATGCTGTCCTACCGCTCCTGCTTTAGGTTGCACAGGGCCCTGTTTATGTGGTATATGGGGTCGTGCGGATAGACGGCAATGGCAGTGGAGTAAGCCACGATGGCCTTTTCGTACTCCGCCTGCTTGACATAGGTGTTTCCACGATCCTTTATATCGTTGGCCTTCTTGTGCTGCTGGGCCACAGGATCCACTGGTAAGTCCTGTTTCTCCGTGGGTGAACTGGCCGCCGAGGATGACTTCTCTGACTTGATATGACTGCGCACTGGCAGATCCTGCATTAAAAGTTCGAGGTTTACTTAGTAATCCCAGGCAATTTAAGGCTTACCTTATTGGCGGCAGAATGCGGCGCCTTTTGGAGTTCTTTCTCCTTGTTTTTGATGTCTTGCTCCCAGGAGTACAAGTCCTTCACGGAGCTCTCGTACTCCCGAGCGTTCTGGCGCACCTGGCGCTGCAGTTCGAAGGCCTTTTCCTGTGCACTCATGCTGGTTGCCCTGTCAAGTGGCTAAAGAAATATTAAATGAATTTTCGTTATTTCTGTTGCTAACGCTCCGGCAGTCTGGCAGCACTGTCTGTTTTCGATAGTTCAACTGAGTTGCTGTTTCATCGGACAGCGCTGCCAGCTCTCTTTTGTCGCGGCCACTTTCCAGGGCTGCCAGGGCTGCCAGAGTATTTGGGGTCAAAAGCCCTTGAATCAGCTGTTTTTGTTTTGATTGATTTTATTTTGAAAACTCTAGTTAAAAATTATGCTTTATCCGATAGAACACAAATATTACTAATATAGCACACAATGCTGAGGTTGTGCCTCCCTAGTCGAGCTGGACATGTGCGTAAGTAAGGACGTGACTTCTAGAAAAGTTGTTATGTAAAGTAAATATTTGCCAATTGCGCAGTTTCTCCCACGAAAAACCAAGAAAACCTGAAACGCACTATGAAGTTTTGAATATTCGCAATGACTGCAGCACCCGAGAGGTCCGTAATGCCTTTGTCCAGCTCTCCAAATTGGTAAGTACCTCCAGGATTCCAAGGGAGCCTCCTAAGCCCTGCATTTCCCGCAGTACCATCCAGATGCTAAGAGCAATGCTGCGTGTCCGGAGAGAACAGCCCGCTTTGTTCAGATCTCCGAGGCGTACAAGACCCTGATAAAGCCGCAGCGGAGAAGAGACTACGATGACAGCCTGCTGTGGCAGCCACCGCGCTCGGATCGCAGTCCGGTGGGCGAGACGGACAATCCCGGCCAGGCGTGGGATGTAAGACCCAACTACGATCCCAATCCAGGACCGTATTATGGCATCCGGGGTCTCAAGAGGGTCTCCAACTGGCAGGTAGCTGTGGTTCTGATGGCTCTTGGTGCCCTAGGGGCACTTTTTGGCTTCACCTCCGTCAGGTGAATGATTATGAACCAAGGAACTTAAGTAGTCACACTGAACATCCACCATCCCAACAGGTCGTCCTTTCACCTGAGCCGCCAGATCCAGGACGAAATCTCAGCAGAGGCTAATTCCCACCATGCCGCAGTCGTGGCCGATGCCCAGAAGTACGGCAATGAGGAGCAAGTGCGTCGCATGGTGGACCGTATGTCGCGGAGTCCCTTTAACCAGTCTTCAGCTAAGTGATCCCATTTCCACATTTCCTTTGGTCAAATTAAACGTGAAAGCAGATAGCTATTTTTGCTTATTTGGTTTTGGTTCAAGGCTAGGCAAACGCGACAGGTTTTTTTTTTAACTAAACAGTTTAGTTGGCCTTCATAGGCGATTTGCAAACTGTGCAAACAACCAGGGCGACTACTTAAGCACTCCGGCCGCATCCATCCAAGCATATTCAAATCAATCCTACTACCAACATGAAGTCAACTATTCATATGGGCACCCTGGGCATCGTGGTGCTAGTGCTCTGCTGCCTGGATTTTTCCAGTTCGCAAAACAGCACTTCCCCATCCGCATCCGCATCTGGAGCTGGATCTGGAGCTGGATCAGGAGCAGGATCTGGAGCTGGATCTGGATCTGGATCTGGATCTGGATCCGCTTCTAGCAGTCCCTCCTTCTCCTCGTCAGGCGCGCCTAGGAAAGTGCACCTAACCAACCTTAAGTACTCCATTGTGAGAAAGATCCGCGCGGGCAACATCCCCGCCAGCGGCAGCAGTATCACCAGGAGTTCTAGGACCAGTAGCAACAAGAAACTGAACGCCAAGAAGACCCAGGCCAAACGGGGCCAGGCCAAACGTGGCCAGGCCAAACGGGGCCAGGCCAAACGGAGCCCGGCCAAACGGAGCCCGGCCAAGCGATCCAACAAGAACAGGAAGTCGAACTCCCGCCGCGCCAGGGGTTAAGTGGTTTTCCAGTCGGTTATGAAGACAATGTTTTATTTTGAGCTCGTTCTAAACACAAAACACTTAAGAATACCGTCGCAACGGGCAAATTAAATTAGATAAATACGTAACTTGTACTGTTTGTTTACACTACTCTGAATCGAACTTGGATACACTACCGGGAACCCGCCACCGAACTACAAACTAAAGAATCACATAGTACAAAATCGGAACTCAGATGGTCTAGAGCTTCGTCTGCGCCGCCTTCGCGGGACCCACTTCCTTGGCCATCACCTGGATGCCCACATGCGGAGCAGCCGGCTTGAAGACCACCTCGCCCTGGGGCTTGTAGTCGGCGAACTGCATGCGGAACACCTCGTGGAAGCCCAGCTTCTCCATCACCCGGGCGGAGTAGTGGCTGGAGCAGAGCACGTGGTACACATTGATGCCGTTCTCCCTCATGTACTCGTACGCCCTCTCCGTCAAGCGGCCTGCGATGCCCAGGCCCCGGTAGTTGGTGTCCACCGACAGGATCTTGCCGTCCAGGATGAGCTCCTCGTCGGGATACACGTCGAAGATGTTGAACTGCTCCTCCACGTGGTCCATCAGCGAGAGGATCTTCTTGAATTTGGGATGTTCGCAGGAGTCAGCCGCCTTCTCGGGCACATCATCGGGGGACTACTCATAGATCACATAGGAGCACAATTAGCTAAGCAGGGCGTGAGTACTCGTCAATAGGATCACTTACCGGTCGCCTCATCAGTCCATTTAGGAACAGACCTATTATCTCGCCCTTCTTGTTGACCGCCTTGTATGAGCAATTGTCGGGCAGCGGCTTGAGGGAGTACTTCTCCAGCTCCTTGCACTCTCCGAGGTCAAGGAACGTGTTCAGTGGTTCATCCTGCACAGAAGAGGGAAGCGGATTAGAGGCCAGTTTTCAGCGCACTATGCCACCCATTCGGAGCCAAATGCTCATCAATCAGCGGATCTCTTGGCCGAACAAATTGCCGGCGCTATTACGCGACACGATCGTGGAATTGATCAGCAACTCAAGTGATTTATGCACGCATTGCCTCGGCCTGGGATTTTGCAGTAATTTATAGAGGCAGTTGGAGAATTGCGAACGGAACTCGATTTGCATATCGCCATTACCGCCGGGGGCGGCTGTGGCCAGCGGGCGTGGCATGCATACTAATCAGCGGAGCTTTTTAGATGGATACATATACAATGTATGTATAAATATAGGTCTTGAGTACCAATTGGTCTTTGCAGGGAGCCTTCTCATTGGCCGGCGCGATCTAGAACTGGAACCTGATCCAGTCAAGATCAACCGAGCATTGGACTCCAATTCGAATTCAGATCGCCAAGAGTCGTGATGCAAGACCAGCTGAAAGCTAGCCCTGACATGGATCATGTCAAGAGACCTCACGACAGCCGAATACTGTGCTCTACAAGATCCCACATGCCCCAAATCGGAATTCCCGGTGGCTGGGAGCGGGCCGTGGAATTCCCAGGCAGTGGCCAACGCAAAGCGCAATTAATTCAACTTTAGTGTGCGAGTTTCGATCTGAATTAAAGCCTAATTAAGACGATCGCGCGCTAATTGAAATTCGCTGGAAATTATTCAAATTCACCTTTGTGCGCTGCCTCTCGACTTAAATTATTTGGCCAGTATAATGGAACTTATAAATTCTGAGCTGCCCAATCGGAGAGCCAGGTGTTCGGCTTGATTGGCTTCCATGATATGCCAGCCAAGCGGATTACAATACAATGGAAGCGTACCTACCTTAAAGAAAAAGGTCTTGAGCATGGCTATCACCGCCTCCCCATCCTCGGGCCGGATCACTTCGATGGTATAGGGGCAGTCCTTATCGACGGGGCTTGCGGCTGGCTTTCCAGAGACGGTCAGGGCGTCCTCCATTTTCTGCGTCAGCCGGGCAATCGGATACAAGTCGTTCAGCTGCGAAACGGCAGACAAGCAAATCGTTCAGATACTTTGGATGGCGGATGGGGGATGGGGGAAAGTCGGGCGGTGCATAGAACACATTATAATTTATGGCTCTTAGATGAAAGGCAATAATTTGTTTTGTATATTTTGTAGCTCATGGATGACGATGCCGTGCATTTCCATTTCACTTCCATTTTCCACCGACCATGTGCCCCAAATGTTGTTTTCATGTTCGCCAGCGACAGGACCCATAAATCAAGAACCGAAACTAAGGTCGCAGTTCTTGAGGGTGCTCTAGAAGCATATAGCCCATGACCATCTGAGCAGGATCACATGCGCACCGTTCATTTCGGAACTATAAGCTGGTCGAAACCACCAGCAGATGTAGTTCATAATATCAATTATAAACTCACCGAACACATATCATTATGGGTCTATTATTAGACGAGAACAAGTGGCGTATTTATGGAGCGAACTTAAGGTTGCAAATTTGCTTATACAGCTGTCCGAGGAATATTTTGGGGCACACTTATATTAAAGCTGGCTGTAAACAGTTCTAAGTGATTTGTTTGAGTGGCGTTGCTTATGACAGTGTTCCTTATAGGGATTCAGTTCGGTTGCAGTTGCAGAACTTCTGCCACCTCATAAAATCACGTTTCATTCACTTGTGCCCCATAAACGTCGATCGCAATCGCCATTAAAACGATCCAGAAAACATTTGCGAAATTCGCACATGCCAAATTACTGGCTGGCTGCCTTGCCCCCCAGGAAAATGGCCTTTGAGTGGTTCACTCGTGTTGTTCTGCTCTATGGGTCTATTATGGGTTGCCCCACTGGTATTTATGGAACTCCGCGGTGGCCCCAAGGAGTGGGTGCTGTCCGCTGGGCTGGAGCCACACTTACCCCACATCTGGAGTCCAGCATCATGCTGGATATCAGCGACTGATCCGGCAGCTTCTGCACTTCCATGTTGCCTTTCTGGGTTTGTTTATTGCGAAACGCTTTCTTTTGTTCAACGTCGGCGGTCAGTTTTCAGGGGCAGCGGGCAAAAAAAACTAGGGGGGTGGGGGGTGGGTGTATGTTGGGAAAATTTATGGCGAATTTTTCCCCTTTTTTAATTTTTTGTTGGCGCGCACGTTTTGCGATGTTTTGTTTACTTCGCCGCCAGCGAAATAGTTGTTTGTATTTGCGCTGTTTGGCTTTTAATTTTACTTTGCTTTGATAAACAGTAGGGCACACAATCACAGCTAAATTTTGGAACTCGGACTGGGACTCGGAGCAAGATTGGTGGTCAATCAAAGGAGCAATCCCTGCTCCTGGCGCGTGCACTCGATGGGCCTGCGAGCAAACAATGAATGCCAGAAGTCGGGCCCGTTTGCACTTTATATAGCCATCGGGTCGTGGCGAGAGAGTGTATTTGGATTCGGATTCGGATTGGGAATCGGCATCTGAATGGAAATCGGAATCGGAATCGGATCGTTCTAAGCGCAGAGCCCCGCGCGCCGGCTGTTCATTCGCGACTGAGAGAGAGGCGCTGGATGAAGCCAGCGGTTGCCGGTCGATTCCATCGCAGCCTATTTGCTCGGATGTCAGCGGAAGAGAGGCGGATCGTGACAGGTTTGCGCTCCAAGTCGAGCGACCAGTTTGCAGCCGTTTCCTGGACTCTCCAAGATGGGCCTTTCCCTGGCGACACTTCCGACGCGGCGGCGGGCGTCGTGTTTGTGGTCAGCGGTCAGCGGTCAGCGGCTCGGATTACACAAAAGTAAGGCGAAACTGGTTACCAGTTGGTGCACCCAAGTGCTGGCTAGCAAGGCCAGTTTGCCAGGCGACCGGCTGCAGGAGCACGCGTTTCCATTCCTTTCAGGCTTCCCAGTTTCTCAGATCTTTGCACCTCGTCAAACAATATTTTATACCAATGCAAGGCGCATTAATAGTTATTCCAGGCAGTATTATGAGCTATCTTTTCATCGCCGACCACGGGGCGTATGAGTGATGCTTCAATAGCCCTTTAAGAATGCTGGGTAAACAAGTCGAGAGGCGCACCCCCGAAACCTTAGCCGCAATTAAGACCCACACAGCGTATGCGTACTATTCCGGCCGTGAATGATCTTTCCACGGCGCACTGGCCGATCATCCCGTGCTGTTTTTGTTTACTTTCCGCTCGCAGCTGTCGCGTACTTATTTTCTAGTGCTTTTTTTTCATTTTGGCCGTGCAAACGGGCAAAACGGAGCGCACGCCGTTGGCTCAATTAAAATGCGACAAAAGATAGAAGCACAACGCCATTGTGGAGGTGGAGGTGGAGGTGGCGGTGGAGGTCTCTCCCAGAAATCGGCGGCTTGTCGGATATTTACATTCTTCGCCGTCTGCTTTGTTTGGTTTGGCGCGCGCTCTCCCAATTGCCACCCATGAATATGTATCTCTATTTCTCCTATCTACGGCTATCTACGGAATTATTCCGGCCATCAGCTCCCGCGGCTCGCAGCCAATCTGCCAGATTTTGGATATATTTCGCCTATGGCTTCTCCAGTCGCTCATAAAAACAGACCGCAATTAGCGGACAAAAAATGCAAATTGCCAGCGAAACTGTTTATCATGCACAATCGTCGGAAACTTTTCATGGATAATTTTGTTTACAATATTTATTATTTCGGCCGGCGACTTGTCACGTTGTTATCTCTTTTTATTTTGGGAAACTCGTTTCTGCCACTCACATGTGGGGCACTAAACTCATCTGCGTCGCCCAGAGACGCGCCCCTTTTCATTGTCCGGCTGCCAAGACCTTCCTTCTTTCCGCCGGCTGACTCACTGCTGGGTGGTCGGATGCAGGTGCAATTGGGGGTATTTATAGCTGAAGCCACACACGCTTCCATCTTCGCTGGGCGAGTAAGGAAGCCAGAGACGCGCTTGATGGAGCAACCCACACTTCGATGGGTATTTGCGACTTAATGGGTGGCAGTTCAATCCCCTTGCATTCAGATCCAAAGCGTCGCTGACGTTCAGCGCAGTCATGCTCCTAATGATACGCCGTAAAGTAAAGTCTTAAACGTGGAATCGTAAACGACGATCTGCTAT